AGTGGGAGAGGAAGGCTGTCTATCTGACGAGTTTGTATTCATGCTCAGATGCCGAGGAGCTCAGAAGGTGGGCGACTGTGACCAGTGATAGTCATGCATATAGAGATTAGAAATGCATGTGAAAACGTCTCAATGTCAATTGCTTTGGAATGAATTCTGTATGAAAAAAAAAAAAGTTGTGGTGTAAAGTATTCCTTGAGAAATATTTATAATTCTATGAGAATGTAAATAGTTTCACAGTAATTGTTTTCCAGTTAGAATATTCTAACTTAATTGCAGTGCGGTCTCTTTAATTTCTTGTTCATTAATTTTTAACTAACTTCATAAAAGAATAAGAATAAAAAAATGTGATTTATTTTAGAAAAAGTTAAAAAATATATATATATTTGAGGGGCTGGAGAGAAGACTCCGCAGTTAAGAGTCTTAACGCCACCCCAGAGGTTAGAAGAGGGCTTCGGATTCCCCTGGAACTGGAGTTAAGGATGGTTCATAGCTGCCATGTGAGTGCTGGGAATCGAAACCAGGTCCTCTGCAAGAGCAGTCAGTGCTCTTAACCAAACTGCTCAGCCATCTCTCCAGCCTCTAGTCTTTTTTTTTTTTTAACATTTAATTTATTATGGGGTGTCCAGAGGGGGTGTACCGCAGCACACACGTGTACAACTTTCAGGAGTCAGTCCTCTCCTTCCACCATGTGGGTCCCAGAGATGAACTCAGGTTGTCAGGCTTGGCAGCAATGTCTTTACCCATTAAGTCATCAAGATGACTGCTTTGTATATTCTTGTATCATAAAATTAAAAAACAAAATTGGGGGCTGGAGAGATGGCTCAGCAGTTAAGAGCACTGGCTGCTCTTGCAGAGGACCCAGGTTCAGTTCCTAGGGTCCACATGGTGGCTAACAATCATCAATAACTTCAATTCCAGGGGATCTGATGTCCTTTTCTGACTTCCATGAGCATTGCACACATTGTGCATACATGCACACAAAACATTCATACACCTAAAAATGAATTTTTTTTTGTCTTTTTGAGACAGGGTCTCCCTCTAGCCCCAGCTGTCCTGGAACTCACTGTATAGACCAGGCTGGCCTTGAACTCACAGAGATCTGCCTTCCTCTGCCTCCCGAGTGCTGGGATTAAAGGTGTGTGCCACCACGCCTGGTAAAAATGAATATTTTTAAAAGCATTTAGATAAGAAGCTAAGTCTAGGCACTAAGATTTATTTTTAGTGATAATCTTTCCACATCACTGGTAAGAGCTAACTTTCAATAAATTCCTGAAAACCTGGAAAGACAAAAAGTTATTTGGTATTATAAAATTGTGTTATTGAATATTTTCTAATATATAGTACATACTTGTTTTAAAATTTACAGGTAGTTCAGTGCAGAAAATTCCCAGTATTCCTTTTTTCCCCTCATTTTTTTTTCTTTATTACAAAAGTAAAATTTGTTCATTATAGAAAAGTTAAAAACAAAACAAAACAACAACAACAACAAAAAAAAACAGCCAGGCATGGTGGTGCATGCCTTTATCCCAACAGAAGCAGGAAGATCTGTGAAATTGAAACCAGCTTGGTCTACAAAGCAAGTGCCAGGCCAGCTATGGCTTAGGGAGATCTTGTCTCAAAAAAGAAAACAAAATAATAATAATAATAATAATAATAATAATAATAATACAAAAGATAAAATACAGGGGCTGGAGAGATGACTCAGTGGTTAAGAGCACTGGCTGTTCTTGTAGAAGAACCGGGTTCAAATCCCAGCACCCACATGGCGGCTAACACCCATCTATAACTCCAGTTCCAGGGGATCCAACACCCTGTTCTGACCCTCCTCGGGTGCACCTACCTACATGCAGGCAATACATTCATATGCATAAAATAAAAATAATATTTTTAAATGTAAAATATAAAATTCACTGTTATTCAGTTCCCTAGATATAATTTTGTGTGTTTTGTTTTATATATTAATTATATTTGGAACATATGTTTAGACCTATTTTAAGCTCTCATCTCAGGTTCTCTACTCACATGCAGGCATTAGATTAAGGATAGTTAGGATACTAATCCCTTTCAAAGTGAACTTCATTGCATCTCTGAACTTTTTACTTAGGTGGCCTGCATCATGCAGCTGCCCGAATTTCTGGAGACAATGTCTATAAGCATTTGAAATATGAAGGTGGGATTCATCGAGTTCAGCGTATTCCTGAGGTGGGCCTATCGTCAAGGATGCAGCGCATTCACACAGGAACAATGTCAGTTATTGTCCTTCCACAGCCAGATGAGGTAACCTCAGCAGAACGCGGAAACTGACTCCATGTAAATGGACATTAAGCTGAGAAACCCTACCTTCTACAAAGATGTTTTTTCATGGTTCCCAATTGGATTTTATATTCTCTATTGTGAAATCTTTTGGGGGTAGGGGTGTTTGAGAAAGGGTCTGTAGCCCTGACTGGCCTATGTAGACCAGGCTGGCCTGGTAAATCAAACTCTCAATGACTCACCTACCTCTGCTTCCCGAGTACAAGGATTAAAGGCATGTGCTACCATACCTGGCTTCTATTGAGAACTCTTTAACTCTTCTCCAGGGAAAGTTGCCCTTGTTATTCCCAAGATATTTTTTGTTTGCTTGTTTAAATTAGAAGTCAGGGGGCTAATGAGATGGCTCTCTAGATAAAGGCACTTGCTACCAAGCCTGATGTCCTATCCCTGAGTTCTATCCCCAGATCCACATGGTGGAAGGAGAGAACTGACTCCTATAAGTTGTCCTCTGACCTCCACATACATACACACAAATACATAAATATAAAAAAAAGCAATAGCAATGAAAGTAATAATTTGTTGTTGGACATAGAGACAAATGGTCCAAAATTAGGTATCAGTAGGGCCATAATCTCTGCTGGGGAGAGTCGTCTGTTGTTCTTCCAGCTTCAGCTCTCTCCAGGTGTTCTTTGGCTTGAAGTTGTGTAATTCTAGCTTCTACTTTGAATTCACATGGTTTCTTCTCTAGGAGACAGTGTCTTGTAAGGACACCTATCATTGTATTTAAAATCTATCTAGATAATCTAGTAGAAAGTTTTTGTAAAATTTTTAAAACTTGAGTTACTCCAGTTCCAGGGGATCTGACACCCTCTTCTGTCCTCCTTGGGCATTGCACGATGTGGGTGCACTTACCTACATGCGGGCAACACATGCATACACATAAAAATATGAAAATAATATTTTTTTAAATTTTTTTAAAACTTGTGTTTGTGTGTGCATGCATGGGTGTGTGTGTGTGTGTGTGTGTGTGTGTGTGTGTGTGTGTGATGTGTGTGGGCAGCATGTGCATATCATGACATGCATGTGGAAGTTCTCTCTTTCTACCATGTGGGTCCCAGGAATTGAGGTCCTGGGACTTGAGCTCAGGCTCGGCAGCACGTGCCTTTATATGCTGAGCCATCTCACCAGCCTATAATCTTATTTTAACTTTTAACTCAACAAATAATGTTCAAGAAATTAAAACATAAACATGGGCCCACCTTTTTTGGTTTGTTTTCTTTTCTTTTCTTTTTTTTTTTGGTCTTTTTGAGACAGAGTCTCTCTGTAGCCCCAGCTGGTCTGGAACTTGCTATGTAGACCTAGCTGGCCTCCATCTCACAGAGATTCATCTGCCTCTGTCTCCCAAGTGCTGGGACTAAAGGCATGTGCCATCATGCCCTGCATTAAATTATAATCTTAAATCCTAAACCCAACCCATCCTGCTAGATTCTATTTTGTTTTACAAAAGAGAAAACAAGGTCCAGAACTATCAAGACTGGCCTGAGGCTGCTCTACTAACAGGACTTCAAATCCTGACCAACTAACCCCAAGTCAGTTTCTTATTCTACACTGCCTCCCCATCACCACCCCTGCCTCCCCATATGTGTCCGCTGGTCATTGGTGTGAGAACTGAAATAAAATAGGAAGTCACTTTATCTGACCATGGCTGCGAATTTGAGAATGTAAAGCAGCTCAAGTTTTTCACTACTTGGTGTTTGTCTGCAAATGACTGTAAAACTGTTATGGGAGACAAAGTTAGCAGGTGAATTTGTAAATAAATAGTCTAGGAATAATGAGACCCCATAATGTGTTATATAATTTTTATGTTCTATGTAATATAACTATGTGATAATCAATGTGAAGTTCCTCAAATATGTAATTTGGTGATCTCATGACATTCTAAGTCAGTGTTTAAAAACTGCATCCCTCCACTGAGGATGAAGCTCAGAGGTAGAGTGCTTGCCTAGCATGCAAAATGCCCTGGGTTCAATCCCCACCACCTCCAAAAATAAAACAGCACTTCAGTGAAATAGGTATTGTATGGTTTCTTTCTTTGGTGTTACTTCTTTTGACTAATGGCTAATACAAGTGACTCCGTTTATTTGAAAAATCACAGAAGGTATTCATGGGATGGGAAATTTACTTTTTGTTCTAGGTAGATGTAAAAGTGGACCCCAGAGACTTAAGAATAGACACATTTCGAGCCAAAGGAGCAGGAGGGCAGCATGTTAATACAACAGACAGTGCTGTGAGGCTTGTCCACATCCCCACAGGTAAGCAAGTCCTTTGCTTTCAGCTTTCTTTTCTCTTCACATATTAACTAGCCCGTGTGTAGAAGGATGGAGTCCTAGGCTAGTGTCTGATTCCTCATTTTTACATTATTTGACCCTTGAAAAGTACAGTTTACCTTTGATTCCTATTGTTTTTCAGGGCTGGTAGTAGAGTGCCAACAAGAACGATCACAGTTAAAAAACAAAGAAATCGCTTTGCGTGTGCTGAGAGCTAGACTCTACCAACAGATAATTGAGAGAGACAGATGTCAACAACAAAGTGCTAGAAAACTTCAGGTAAGACAGTGTGACATTTGAGCACTGCAGAAAAAGTCATATTATGTAGCAAATATAGTGCATAGTTCTACATGAATGAAAACGTCTTAGAACATAGAAAAACATGCTTATATGTAAATAAGTAATAACCTAAATGCCTGTGAACTGATGGGTTGTGATTGTATTTAGGCATGCCAGTTTCCAAATGAATAAATGAAAGCTACATAAACAAAATTACTTCCTATGTGTTTCCCTCCATGTGTTTATGTCATAACTGTCTTAAAAGGAAGTTGGTTTTAAGACAAAATAATTGTTTAGAAATTAGAAGATTTTCATATATTTAAAACCTGGGTTTTATTACACCTACATATGTATGGATCAAATATAAATGACACTGTGGAAAAAAAGGGTGATTGCTAATGGAGTCCGGAGATAAGGGATAAAAGGGAGATTTATTTTTCATTGTATACAAATTTACTTCAATTTTTTTTTTGGTCTTTTTGAGACTGGGTCTCCCTGTAGCCCCAGCTGGCCTGGAACTCACTATGTAGACCAGGCTGGCCTTGAATTTATGTAGACCAGACTGGTCTTGAACCTCACAGAGCTCCACCTGCCTCTGCCTCCCGAGTGCTAGATTTAAAGGCATGTGCCACCACACCTGGTTAATGCCACTGTTTTAAGTAAACAAAATATTGTATAATTTAAAATTCTAAAAACAATAAAGTTTCTGTTTGAGAGAAGTTGGAAAAGAGAGTAGCACTCAGCAATAAGTGTGCATAGGGCTGGGAATGTGCCTAGTATGTGCAACTCCTGGGTTTGATCCCCAGTACCAAGAAAGAGTAAGTGGGAGAAAAGGAGAGGGAGAGAAGGGAAGAAATGTGCTTTTTTTTTTTTAACTTAAAAAAAATTTTTAACGTGTATACGTGTATTGCCTGCATGTACGCAAGTGCACCCATGTCATGCAATGCCCACAGAGGTCAGAAGAAGCTGTTGGATCCCCTGGGACTGGAGTTACAGAGTGTTGTTAGCTGCCATGTGGGTGCTGGGATTCGAACTAGGTCTTCTGCAAGAACAACCAGTGTTCTTAACAGCTGAGCCATCTCTCTCCAGCCCCAGGAATGTG